AAATGGCCTTGTCATTGGACTTGTAATAAATGGCCCTTACCAAATAAATAATCTTCAACAGCAACAAAAAGCTCCGCAGATCATCATTCTAAACTCATTCTCTCAAATTCACCTTAATACGCAACATTGTATAGGTAGGCTAGGTATTTATTTAGTTGCATTTCTAATAATAATTCCACTACTGATTAACTTATCAATGCATATTTCAGGCAATGCAAAATAGTTTCTATCAAATTAGAACAGTTAATAAATGCTATTTTCAGTCATAATGTAGAATATCGAGAAGTACAGAACAATCAAAATCGGATAATTCACAACAATGCGATTAACCTTGTTACCAAAGCACAACAGAGCATATTTGGGAACAATCAATCGATTGTTTGCTCGAGAACAATGAAACTAAACCGTATTGCTAATTTCTTTTATCGGACATATCCATTAAATTTAAAAATGTTTAAATGTTCAACTTATGAATTGAATAGAGCTTTGAACAATTATATGGGACTTACTTTATACAAACTTAATTTCCATACTATCTGAGTACGGTTAAAAAGGATGGCAATTTTATAGAATAAATTTAGTTAATACGCATATTAAGGGAAACATTATATTTTATTTCGATTTTAACAACCTAAATCGTGTTGTTTACTGTTTGAAAGACCAATTATTTCTATGCTTTATAGTAAATGTAGGAAAAATATATGAGTTACACAAATAACTATATAACCACGCGTGAGTCACAGTGTCGTATGAAAAACATTAATTAGCCTATGTATATGTAATTAAAACCTGATGATTATTTTATGGACACCCGGTATCTGTTAGCACGATAACTCGAGCAAAAATAATGCGATTATGATGACATTTTGTAGAAACGTGTAAACCTAAATTCATTTGTACGAGATAGCGTACCAGCATATTCGGACCATGGGAACGGGGTTTTATGGGGGATTTATGGGGTATAAATAGCTTGATCTCATTTTTACCCTTAAAACATTAAATTTCCCATTTCTCTTTTAACCATGTTGAAGAGCTTAAAAACACGGATAATTTAGTATCTTGAAGTGTTTTTGTACGGTCATTGGTTACGGAGAAAATGAAAAAAAATTATAAATTTAAAATTCTCATGTGAATTTTATGGAGAATAAGTAAATCGGAGTAGTTTGGCAAATCATATTTGGCAAATTTATTCATTTTATACTGAGCTATTAATATAAAAAAACACACTATTAACTCTCCCTATAGCATCAAACCTAGGTACTAGTTAAATGTAAATGCTATTGAAATTGAATTGAAAATCAAATCAAGCAAATGGAAATTCGCTTAGTCTGCAGGATTGCTGCGAGGGGGTGTTTTATTTTAAAGTGATTTCATATTTAGTATAAAATTATGATTGTGGGTTGTTAAGACTGTTCGTATTGAGATCACAAAAGCTTAAAAAAGTTTTAATTGACCAAGCCAAATACTAAAAATATCTTCTCCCAAAAAATTGTAATTCTCTGTAAATTAAATGTATTTAGCATTTTAATTTGAAAGGGCCATAAATAACCTAATACTTATACTATGGAGTTTAAGTTTAAGATATGGATCTTTCAAAGCCTATAGTTAGTGTTACTGTAGGATACGTTTTATATAACTGAAATGTTCAGTATAGAGGCTTATACGAATGTTAAATCGAATGTATTCAAAGGCGATGACTGTTGGAGAGCTTTATACATGCAGTGATCCTAGCTTAGTTGGGTAATTTTCTGATTGGTAAACTGCTAAACTCGTTGATGTTGATCAACTCGTTCAACCTACTGTAGCAGTCAAATGCCACTCGGTCGTGATTACAACGATTTATTTGTCTTTACAGTTTAGCAATTTTATCCAGTTAATCCATTTGGTAAGCTAATTTTTAAATATAATGCACAATAATCAATAGGAGCTTGCTCATTGGAAAACCCATTTTGTATTGTTGAATAAGTGTTATAACGGCCCATTGAGTGTACACAATTAAAATATCTTAAATGCTTGAAAAATATAAAGTTGAAGGTTTATTACTTATTATTAGATTTCCCTTGTCACTGTCACAAACGAACCCATTGTGTTAGTGGATTATAAGATTTAATGGAGCATTGAGAAGTGTTTTATAAGCTATCTGATTTTCCCAAAACAACATTATTGTCATCAATAATTTTAATGCTTGTGTTGTGGATGTACAACCTTTCTCTAAAATGCTTACTTCTGTTTAGTTCAAACACTTCGGAGGCAAAGATTGTGCATCTTCTACATAAATAAAATAAGAGTGTTGTACATTGCTCAGAATTTCATATTTTTTGTCACTTTTACTTTTTATACAAAGAAGCCGAAACAAGTCTTATTTCTATTTCTGTCTGTCTGTCACGGCCCAGAAGGCATTTTACGTGGCCTTCTAGAGTACCGACGATTCTAATAGTTTAATTGTATTCACAGGATTGGCTAAGTGTCTTTAGCCGTTATAATGTGGCCTTATATTGTGGTAGGTTATGAACCTGGGACCTCGGGCTCCGAAGCCCTAGCTCCCTCCCCAAATTTGTTTGATTAGTTTAATCTATACTACACTTTGCGTTGTGTGCAAATTATGAATTGAACAGGTGGTGCTTTGGCCTCTGGAAATATAAAAATAAAAATAGTTAAATCAGTCCTGGGAGTAGGAAATGAGACATACAGTAATAGCTTATTCCTTATATGCAAATTCGCTAAAACCCATACTAAGTATATATCACAATATTCCAAACTTCTAGAAATACATTACACTTTTGTTAAAAAATATCAAATGATCCCAAAAAAATAACTTATTCTTATGATCAGCCTTACCCTGAATAAATGGTATTTTACCAAAACAAAATGGCTGCTTTAAATCCTCGTGTGTATCTTGTAGACTCTAATGAGTGAAAATAAAAGAGTATTGTAAAGACATAGGTGGTTGATAAGGAAACATTTCAATCGTATGTTTAAAACATTGCAATATTATCCCAAATGCTGTATATTTTATCTTCAATGGTGCATTTCGCCAGAGTATAAAGCCTGTAATATCACTGTATGTTTACACCTTGCGTCAGCCTTTCTATCTCTTCAAATTTGAATTTGAGATTTTAGTCTGAATTTCAACATAAACAGTATTTAAATTTTTATGAAGTCTTGATTCAAATACATTTGATATTCATAAACCTATGTAGATGTTTGTCACAAAATAAAACTACTATAGTTAACTGTCATATTTTTACTTGAATTTACTAAAATCTATAATAATTACCATACCACTAATATAAATTCCAATATAACCTTAACAGACACATAAAATACTTTTGGATAGTTCTTCATCTAATACTACTCTTCATCGTAAATAAGTTTAAAATGTTTGCAGTTTTCACTCGATAATTTTAAAAATTGATTATTAAAACCTATAACTTGTTAGTCCATTAAAACCTGTATTATATTATAAAACTTCGTTAACAGTTTTTTAAATCCTGAATCACGTTAGTACCTTTATTTCATGCTAATGTTGACTTTAGATTCCACCTATGACAAGTTTTTTACTCAAAAAGACACAGCAAAATGATCTTATTGTAGAGTACAAAAAATACACTCTACAACAGATACTCCAATTTAAATTTTATTTTCTCTGTTGGTTTTCCACACTATCATAATTCGAGGAATCAATAAAGATGCAATAGTCTACAGCCACAGTTTAAATTTATTGTAGTAAAAAGTAAAGGGTGTGGGGAATGTTTTACCAACAACAATAGTATTCACAACTATAACACCAGACAAGCACAAAATCTACATGTACAACAAGTAAGAACAGCAGTATTAGTTAAAAAAAATCTTTATCACATGTGCATAAAATTATACAATAGTTTACCTCAAAATTTAAAAAATGAAGATCAAAATGGCCTCAAGAAAAAATTAAAAATGTACCTGGTAGAGAAGAAAATATATAATGTAAAAGAATTCCTGGAAGAGTAACAGAATAAGAGAAATGAAGAGTAAATATAATACATTGACGACCACGGCGTAGATACGCTTCCAGTGGGATATTAACAAGTATCAAGTAAGTAAGTAAGTAAAACATTTGGTGTGAGGAAAAAGTAAACTTCGCGGCATTTCAATATGTCAATGTCTCAATGTACCCAAAACACCTGTCAATCAGTGTTGGTTCTTTTCCAAAACTGGCTCCAGATTTAACCCGACGATTGAATGTTTGTAACAGGAGCGTAAAGTAGTAGGTGTATGCTTTTGTTTTAACTATTAGAATAATGTTCTTGTTTAAGAGTTATGATTCATGTGAGCAATATGTAAGATGTCCGTTAAAGCAATGCAGGGTTTATGCGTTGGACATGCTCCTTTGTAACGTGAAATGTACTTTTTGTGTGAACGTAGCGCGAATGTACAAAGGATATGTATGTTATAAGTCGTTGCTAGTTATCCTAACTAGTTTTGTCTTATTAATACGTAATCATACACTCACAAACGTATTTTAAGCCAAGAATGAAACATGTTATGAAGCTAATTAGTTTAGCAATGTGACTATTTTGATCAAAGCCTTAAAACCGTAATAATTTTTAATTAAACAATTAAAAATAATTTACAGTATACAGCTACGTAAGCAGCTCTGAGTTAAATAATAATTTCGCAATAAACAACAATGACTTTTATGCACCAATTAAGTTTGAACCGGAACATAAAGAACCGGCTGAAGCATTTTGCTGCACTTCCAAAATATTTCATTCTTCTGCTTATTGTGTTCTAGATTACTTTTTATATTTCGATATGCTTTTATGAACTTAAATAACTAAAACGTACGTTTGTTACTATTAAAATAATCTATGATACCCTAGGGCATTAATTTAATGAATTAAATCGCCCCATGGTAATTTGAAAACATCCATTTTCATACCGCAACCTTAGGCTTACATAATATCCATTATAGAATAGTGTAAAACCCAAATTCTGTTTTTCTAGGTGCTTGTGTTTGGTCTGATGTTTAAGAATAGAGAGTGCTCTGAGATAGATAGGTAAAAAGCTGGTGAAATTTGATAAACACAAACCACCTCAAATCTAAAAAATGTGCAAAAATTAGGAAAGTGTCTTCAAAATAAAAATGACCAGAATCAGCAAGTACTGGTAGCTTAGAATGATGGGACAGCTAGACTACGCGTCTACTGACATGGCGGACTACTACATCAGGATGCTGACACACCTCAGGAATCACTCGGACATGCTGAAGACACATGAGAATCTGCTGAATCTGCTGAACGTCACCGAAGAAGACTTGCAGATGATGTTCAACACGACTCAGGCGATAGAAGCTGCAGCACCGTGCTACTGTGGAGGGACTTTGAGGAAGGTGAGTCTTTTGACAAGAGGTGTTTTTAATTATATCTGACGTGGTTTCTGGTGGGTTACTACAAACATGATTCAATTGGGAAATTCATAAAAATGTTATCCAGTTTCTTTGGAAGTCCCTGTTCAGCTATGGAGGTATTTTTTGATTCCTAAAATTTTCGATCCTATTGGGGATTCAATTTTTAAAATGTCAGATGATGCTATGTTCTTTGTTTATGATCACAGGACTTAAAATGATAATTCTGACGTCTTAGTCACCATTTATTCAGCCACTTCGTTTTTATAACTTCATACATAAATTCACATCTTTCGTGCAATAGTTTACCAAGACGAACATGAGCACAGACATGTTCAGAGGTCAATAATCCCAAATAGACAAACCACTGGGTAACCATGCAAAGGCTGTTTGAAAAAAAAATAATAATAAACACTATAATATGTAGAAGTAAACTGAGACGTGATAAAGTGACTTCAAATTGTTATTTAAAGCCAGCATAGCTGTACACGTCGGTTCAAATTGTGATTCGTTCATCACCAACGTTAACAAAACGAAATCTTGTAGTGTTGAATGATCCGGAATGTAACCTTACATTGAAATTGCATGCTTCCAGGTAGTCTCCAGCTATAGGCAGATCCACGGGTACTTCAGTCTGGTAGTTTGTGTGTTCGGAACCATCGCTAACATCCTCAACATCTTGGTGCTCACTCGCAAAGAACTCATCAACTCTCCCATCAACCGGATCCTCACCGGCATCGCTGTCGCTGACATGCTAGTCATGTTGGAGTACATCCCCTTCTCTACGTACATGTACGTTCTGCTTCCTCCGGGGGTCAAGCACTTCTCACACTCAGAAGCTGTCTATATACTCGTCCACATGCACTTCTCTCAGTTGATGCACACCATATCCATATCCCTTACACTCACCTTGGCACTCTGGAGGTACCTTGCTATTCAGTGAGTATTCGACATTTTATTTCTTTATTATTTTTACTTTTCTGGTTCCTTAGTGTCATAATGATTGGATGGTATTAGGTATTAACTTTTTGCAATAAAAGAACTAGTTTCAACTTTCTACCTCAACTTTCAAGCGTCAAGGATGTAAAAAGGGTGATCACTTTAAAAGAATGTTGTTGATTCACATTAATAACACACAAACACGAACACAGCCACCAAACAAACAAAGCCTAGGTAAATTTAAAACGATTAAAAAACGATAAAAATTGTATCTGCAGTATGGAGAATGATGTGTCACGACCGGATGGATGTGAAGTTAAGAGGATCTAATATTCAACAACTATTAATCCAACTCAATTAATAAAAAAAATTAATAAAAAACACGTTATGACATTCTTTCTTGCAAAGTTTTCCGTTAAGAACCAAACTTTACTTAGACCACATACGTGTATCCTCAGTTTACAATAAGCCTGAGGATAAGAAATTAGCAAAATACGGTTTGCAGAGCTATCATTTTGGTATAAAAAACAATTATATTGACGAAAACAAACATAAGTAACAATAATGGTACTTTTGAGTGACAGATTCCCACACAAGACTCACACGATGTGCTCGGACCAGCGCTGCACGACTGCTATCACCATGGCGTTCGCTCTGCCCGTGCTGATCTGTATACCATCGTACCTGGTGTTCAGCGTGAGAGAGACCAGGGTGATGGAACACCAGAGGGTGGTGACTCTCTACCATCTAGACCTCAGTGATCTTGCCAAGCAGGTACTTCAGCCAGTCAATTTTTAAAGAAACTAATCGGAATACATCTACTATGCGTTCATTTAGTCAATTACTCAAAAGATAACTTTTGGAACTTTTTGCAGTAGCTCTATATTCAAAAGCTACCAAAACCACACACAAAATTCACAGGAAATGTTCTGTATAATCAAAATGTAAGCATGCAGTGTTTTAATCCTTTTAGAACTTAATCAAATGTCCGTCTTGTCATCTAATTACTACAACACTTTTGATATGTTAAGGACAACGAGCTGCTGTACACAGCCAACTTCTGGTTGTACGCAGTTGTAGTGAAGCTGTTGCCATGCGCGGTCCTCACGCTGGTGTCCTATTGGCTGGTCTCCGTACTGTGGCAGGTGAACGCGCGCAAACAGCGTCTGCGCTGTGACGTGTTTCCCGCGGTGGCGGCACCACGTGTCTACAAGCCGGAGAAACGCGTTGACAGAACCACCAAGATGTTGGGTAAGTAGTATATCAATATACCTGGTAATATATCAACCTAATGTATATTAATTGGTCATAGGAAAATAGCACTGGATTAGAGTAGGTTTTGTATAGATACTCTTATGGACTCCAAAGTAGAAAAAAGTAAAAGTGGCAGTTATTAATGTGTTTTTCACCACACTATGATGTTTTTGGCTGTATTACATACGTTAATTGGTGGCTGAAAGTTACGTTTTGCTGGCCATGCCAGCTGTCATCGTAATTTGGGGACCGAGCAGGTTTTTACAGGCCGGGGCCGCAAAATCAGCTGTCCGCTTACTTACTTAAAACATGAATGCATTTTAAATACACAATCAAAATCAGTAGCATTGCAAAAGAATTGTGTTAATGTCACCGTTGCCTAGCAACTATTTATTTTTATTTTTGCTGATTCCTCAAATTATTTCTTCACATAACCTTAAAGTTGTAGTTGTGTTGACTATCAGTGTGCATTATTATAGTGGTGAATAGTGGTAATAGGGTATAGTGTGGTGAAAAATAGCGTTCGTACCACGGACCGAAATGGTTTTGCAGCTCTCGATCGATTTAAGTTCTCGACTTCGTCTCGAACTTAAAAACTATCTCGAGCCGGCAAAACCTCATTTTCGGCCCTAGGTACGAAATATACTATTTCGTCATAATGCGGCAAAAACAGCAATTTTAATGCATGCGTTGCGGGTCTAAAGTAGGATATTTACTCTCTAAGGAGTAAAAATCGTTTTAGCCCCTAGGGAGTAAAAATCAGCTGTTGTTGTCAACTCAGTTGTAAATTTCGATTGTAAACAATTGCATGTATCGAAAGTATGAATCGATTGTTCAATCGATAATTTTAGTTTATTGTTGCCTTATTGTAAACAGTTTGACATATCGATAGCATAATGTAAAACAATCGTAATAGACGAAACGATTGAATCACTTACTTAACAGCTGCTTGTTTCCATTTACAAATTAAATTGAAAACAAGCTAGAAGTAGTGTCGCGAGGTTATCTTTAAACTAAAACTATTTCCGTTTTTTAATATAGTTCAAGTTATGGTGCAATATGACGAAAAATATAGTGCATCACACGGGCAAAAGGAGTCTTATCAACCCTCGCTCATTTTCCGAACTCGTCTTCGCCTCGATCGTAAAACTTGAGCTCGGGTCGAAAAGAGTCACTTTAGGCCGTAGTGATGAAATATACTATTATCTATTATTTATTTGTCCAGTGAAATGTGTTTTGACTCGCATACCTTGTTAGTGAAACAATATTAGTTGCTTAATCTTAATTGGAAATACTGTAGCTGTTTATTTAGTCATTTTGCTTTGTCTTATGGCAGTACGTTACTGTGGTTGTTAGCTTATCATATAGATATTTCAGGGTGTGCAGAACATTTTTAAAAACGGCGCCGCTTTAAAAACCTAAGTCACCATACTTACAAGCTTGTGTCCACACTACTTCACCGACGTCTTCCTATTCTCTATGGCAAGTGATTTCCTGTTCCAGTCGCTGTGTTACTGCTGTTCCTAATCACTGAGATCCCTCAGGGTGTGCTAGGTCTGCTGAGTGGGATCCTAGGACGATGCTTCTTCAAGAACTGCTACCACCAGCTGGGCGAGCTGATGGACATCCTAGCCCTGATCAACGGTGCCATCAACTTCATCCTGTACTGCTCCATGAGTCGTCAGTTCAGAGACACGTTCAGTAAGATGTTCAAGCCACGGATACTGGCCAAGTGTGCTCCGCATAACACAGAGGTTCACAGCACCTACGTCTGACCAACGTCGACTCCTGCCTTCGCCGTAACTGTCAGTCTAGAGCTGTCGGACGATTGAAGCAAGTGAGACAGTGAAACATTCTCAACAACTAATAAAAAGAGCTCAGTAATAAGACGTCTAGGTGGAGGTGGAAAAGTGATGCCGTCCAAATAATGTTTAAGTTGATGTTGACCTAATATACGTGAGTTTCTTATTTAAAAACATGTGATTTTAAAGGACATTTCTACTAAGATACTCGTCTTAGAACTGTATAATATTTGAGTAAAGAAACATAACTGATGAAATTCAATCATGATTTGAATAATAGGCCTAATGGTTTTTTTTAGAAAACACAAGTTACAGTGTTTGGAACTTGCAATTTATATACGTTATGAGAATAAGAAAACATATACGTTAAAATATGAGTTATCGTAAATGAAAAGAGCTGCTCCTTACGTTAATGTTCCAACGTAACAGATAACAGTTCAGAACAATTCTCCATATTGTTAGCAAACTACAGTTACCTAAACAACTTAAACTTCACAGACTCCTAAGCTTATTAACCGATGAAGGTTTCAGACAAAAGAAGCTCATTTTAAATGTTTAGCAGCTGTGTTATACATTATGGATACATTCATTGATTAAACAACCCCTAAAATAGAAACGTGGTGGATCGTCTGTTGAGCACTTTTTCTACGAAATATTTGATATATTAATTTTTTTTTAATCCGCAAATTAAGAACGGACGGGGTTTGTCCCTGGACCACAGTAGAATAAACAGCATGATTTAAACAGTTGCTTCCTAAAATCTTATACTATGGGAAACTTCAGGTTACATTACAAACTCATTGCTCCAATACACTGTCAAAAATATCAGTATACAATTCGTATTGGGAAGAACTGGGGCTTTCTGTAATCTTTATCGTGGTAGTAGCTGGGGCTTAGTGTAGTATATGATGACAGATTTAATTTTGTTTTCGGATATGTAAATTTTCGGAGCTAAGCTAACGCGGCGAGGCGTGTTGTAGTCAATGAGCCCTAGGCTACGATCAGGCTTCACTCGCGTTGGGAAATAAAACTACATTAGCAAAGCGATACAATTACCGATGTATCGTGAGCTAAAATACCGCTTACATTGTACCGTGTTTTAACAATTAATATAGTAATTTATCAAAATTAACCAGCCCTCGTCATTTTAGATAATGTGATAATTGTATCCCAACTATCACATTTATCTTAAGTAATTTATCAATCACACGGTACAGTATAAGCAATGTTCAATCTGTATAGCTTGCTCAAATCGACACCAGTTGTATAATATGGATAAGTGTCAATATTTAACTGTATTATCAATTATCTACCTTTCTTAATGAACTTCGCATTATAAATAATTAGAACTGAATACAAAGTGCACGAAATGTCTCAAACTGTATCTCGCTCTCTTTATCATCAAACTTCTATTCGTCCAAAAACCTATAAATGTCTTCTACAGCGATATTTATTTAATTAATTTAATAAAATAACTATCGAAATAGTCTAAAATGTTCCAAATGTGAATTTACCGAACTTTACCGATATTTAATGAAATATTCCCGATTTGTATCGATACATTTGCTTAAAATAAAATGTATGATGTATCGATAAACAGTATTTTTTTATTGATTCATCTAAATGGTACTGTAATATTTTCATCAAATACTACACCCTTTTACAAATTATCAGTGTTTTAGCATTAACTCAATCATACCGTTTGTTATTATGTACACATGTATCAAGTGTCAATAAATTAATTTTAAATATATTTTTGTATATATATTTTTTTTCCTATAAACTAAATGAGTTCATATTTCGCATTGTTTCCCAAGGACAAAAAAATTAAAAACTATTTTTTCCCACCTTCACATCCTAGGACGCTAGTTTTAGCCCGGAACCGTTTAACACACTACTTCAGGCTAGTTCTTGAGGGCTGCGGCATTATTACATGGATCAAATCCATTGGTGATTGGCAGCAGGGCCGGGGATAGTACTATCCCTGGCCCTGATTGGCAGGACTCGAGCCCGTCACCTCGGGCACCGAAACCACGCGCTCTACCACTAGACCAGCTTTTTATTAGAACAACAAAAAAAACTAATACGAATTATATTTAGACCCCATGGTGCATTTATTACTTTCTCCCCCTATACACATAGTATACGGAGAAGTATTGTTTTCGTAAACAAATTCGAGCTTAACTTTTGATTGGCTATATCCGTATGGGGCCCCACTGAACACAACAAATTTATTTTCCCGCTAAAAACGGGAAAATAGATTTTAAAAAACTATCGGTTCTGATTGAATTTTTTTTGTATGGTCCTTAAAGTTCTTAACAAAATAGTGCAAATACCCCTATAGCTGTAAAAATTACGGTTAACAACTTATTGCATCTATTGTTGTTTTTCTTATAAATATCATAGTTACTCCCACCGTTAACCATGATAAAGGTTGTTGACATAGAATGGGAGAAAGTATGTGTCAGATTGCTGATACCGATAATTACTTTTATAAACACTTACAAATTCAGAGATTAAGGAATATTTTAGCATGCGCTGACACCTATGAGCACCGCTTTATATCATTATGTAGATAAGGTATACTTTGCAGGAAAAGGATCTGGGAAAATAATCATGCATATCTTTTCAAATATTTATAAATAACGTACCGGTACATAAATTTATACTTTATTTTATGAATAAGTTAACAGGAACACATTAAGCTGCAAATATGATCTCGCATTTACATTGCACGCTTTTAAGCAAAAACTTTTTTTATTTCAGATTTGTTTAACACAATTTGAGTTTAGTTAAAACTGAAAACTGTCTGGTTCTGACTACTGCCTCAAGTTTCATTCAGCCAAGGAGATGCTTTTGAAACTGCTCGAGAAACTTCTTGAATTTGTAAGTCTTCCTAAATAGCCTGTTATATAACTATTTTGATATTGTAATCATTTACAGAACAGTTGTGTAATGTAAAACATCGATCTTCGTCAGCACCAAACGGATAAATGGAGTCTATTTGATTCAATGACAACAATATGTACACAAATAATCCTGTTCAGTTTTAAAACTATTGTCTATTGTTGTGTTTTGCCTATTGGAGGACCCTCCGGTTTAAACCTGACGATGTCAGGAGTGACTCCTGAAAATGATAACCTTGATGATGTCAACAGCTGAATATATCTCAGACAAAGCACCGGAAGACGTGTTTTATTAGGTTAGGCATATAAACCGTTCAATAAATTATCATAACGAGAACAAAAATAGAAAATGTATAAAATCAATTTTCGTAATTTACAAGGGTAGTTTTATAAGTAAAGACCAAATGAAGTTTATGACACAAATACAATAATAGAGGGGATACAGGAATGGTACAGTTTAAAAGTGGTCGTTCATTTGTTCATTTTTGAAGGAATTGTGTCTTTGTTGGGACCTAGACTTCTCATAAAAGACCACAAAGTAAAAAGGATTTCACGGCCATATTACCCTTCATAACCCACTCCTGCACTTTACCTTTACTCATTGCACACAGAGGATAAATGTATTCAAAATACCAGAAGCTAATAAATAACCGTTTTACCATTTTATAAGCTTTGTGCCATCCATATAAATCCCGAAGTACCCATGAACTTTTGAGAAAAATACAAGTCACACTTCCATAAACCATATACTTAAAATGTACGTCATGACGAACCTTGCGCAAAACTATCCTTTATTTCATAAATTGACCTTTAAGATCAAAATTCCTTTCTAATGGGAACTTTTCATATACCTAATGTTAAAAATACCTTAGCTCTACTTATTAGGTTGTCGTTCTTTCAATTTATTACCTTATTAAAAGCAAGTGTGATTATTTGTCTGTTTTGTTTATTTCAGCCTAACTTAACCAATCAATAGTTTTATCAATACTTATGAAGTCAAACGAGGTGAAGCCCGTGGGTAACAGCTAGTTTAACATTAATTGTAGTTACACACAGTTAGGTATGGAAGTTGTTATGTTTGATTGCAATAATAACCTATATATGCTAAGTCAAAACCTCTGGAAACAAATGTTACAACGATACAAGATACTATTGTCTTTGAAACTCATGTAGGACTTGTGTTTCAACATGAAAAGTAATATCTATCTCTCTATGTTTGTCTACCTCCTGGCGAGGAATCTATGGTCTGCATGTTCTATACAAACAGCTGTATATACAGGTACATAGTACATAGTAATACATAGAACATAGTAATATTATACATGCACATTTCAGAATGTATCAATTTCGCACGTGCTTGACTGTTATTATAACATTTTTATCTATTGCAGAACAGCAATATATCATTATTATCAATAGTATTATATTGTTATAACTTTATAACATTGGGGTAGAAACCGGCTGCGCGTTTAACCTGAATATAGTAGAATGGACAATATATCTTGCGGGGATTTGTATTAGGCGAGAACAGTTGCGTTTTAGGCTGAACCATTAATTGAAATACCAGTAATAATTGTTTGTTTTGTGTCCACGCTGTTGGCAATTTTTCGCGTTATTCAAACGTTTTGGGGGAAACAAGTCAAACCCATATGATTTGTGGAAGTGCCGGGAATCGAACCCGTCCCTCCTGCACCACAGTACGAGACACTAACCACTAAGCTAGCAACACACCCAAATTCCAAATGACCAGTTTAGTTAAATTTAGTTTAGACAACAAGCTACTGACTTATAACAGGCTATCCTCCTAGGACCTGGGTTTTGCACGTAAAACGTTTTTTTATCGCCCTGTGCAATCGCCTAACTGTATCGCATATACAATTGCAATTAGCAATTTGATAGTAAATATGTACCCTGGTCAACAAGACAGCAGACTCAGGCTTCGACTCCAACTTCTCAGCCAGCCTTGCACTTGAGTGGAGAATATTGGTAAATACGTTTACAAAATATCCACTTTGACCAACTAACTGTGATTTGTATTTTATTTTAGAGTGATGGTTAGTAAATATAGTTTACAAATTGGACATAA